GTAGGCCTGTTTAATTGCTTCCATCCTTGTCACCTTGCATAATATTTTCTGGAACAATGAATGTTACATCATAAGAAAAAAGCTTTCATGTTAGACTCAGCTCATTCATTGGAGTCATGTGTCTAATGTGTATGGCATCTTCAGCAGTAGAGACCCTTCAACTCCTGAGAAGCAACCAAACGGTACCTGGATCATTTATATTGTTTTGGAAATCACTTGTACTATCCTGATGAACTCTTCAAAAAGAGGTTTCTTATTGTTGGTACTCAAGTTTTTGTTAGTCTATGGTTCTTGTAGGGAATATTGTCAATCTAGGAGGTTTAATTGTTTTTAAGCTATGTGTGTGTGGTATATAATTTTAGGTAATTACAAAATAATATGATTCGTTGGAACCTTAAACTACCCTGATGTCATTTTTCCTTCCTCCTTATGTATTGACCTGACTTGACCCCCTTTTCCCCAGTTGAAATGCTCTACCTGTTATTCTGTTTCCCACTTCATTTTTACCAAACGTGTAACTTCTTATGACATTATCTAGTAGCCATTGTGACAGCACTATGCTTAGGTACCATATACATTAGGGCAGCTTCTCTGTTTCAATTCTTCTATAGGTGTTTGGTACTTTTATCTTAAGATTTAAGATTATTTGTTACATGTTTGGAAACTATACAAAATAACCTTCAGCATAACTGTCTATTTTCTCTGCATATCTGCATTCTTGATGTTTGTGAAAGCAGCAAAGATGAGTGCTTTAAAGGTGAATTTCTGAACAGGTTGTTTGGAAGGTTACAGTGTACTTTTAGGCTATTAATCAAACTCTTGTGCTTCAGTGTGAGTCTGAATGCGTATGTGTGAGTATGTGCATGGGTGTTTGTGGGAGTGAGTGTGTAAGCATGTATGAGAGAGATTTTGTGAGTGATTGTGTGTGAGTATATGAGTATATAAGCATAGGTGAATATTTTATGAGTTTGCATGAGTGGATATATGTGAGTATATGTGAGTATGAAAATGTATATGAGTGTTTTGAGTATATATTTGTATATTATGAATGTATATCGATGAGAATGTGTGTATTTGTGTGTACAGTAATCATGAAGGTGATAATTGAAACAGATACTACTAAAAATTTCCCAAACCAATTAAAATAAGACATATGAAAGTTCAGTCAAATATCACATTAATCCATGTACATGTGTTTATTGTTAAATCTTACATGTGTAAAATAATCCTTTGTATTTTTATGCAGACCTGGGTGTTTTCATGTCTTTTTACCATAAGAAATCACTGGAAGAACACTGAGCTCAACTATGGGCTCTTAAAGTAAAAAAACTAAAAGCAACAACAAAATCAAATCATTTTTCTGGTCTTTTCTTTACTTGGGAAAAAAGCAGAGGGTTAGCAGAAGCAATAGCATGGACAGCACATCAGAAAGCCCACAGACTGATGCAATTTATGTTCAGGTAAATTTGTATCTGGAGTGATATTTTCTCTATGTCCTAACAAGTCTTACTCTGTACCATAGAAGTTGATTTCTGCAGCAGAAAAACTCTACAGAGAACCACGGTTGCAGAGGACAACTAACTGTGGTTCTAACTCCAAATGATAAATCTACAATACAGCATCTGCTTGTAAGTCTCAGGCCACATCTTGAAAAAGTAGATAGAAGGATTTGTAAGAGCCAGAAGGATAAGAAGTTTTCCATGAGATTGTGCTCCCTCCTATGACATAAAAGCTACACTCATAAAATCTTAACAACATTGCTTCCTTAACAAGACCCAAATAATGATAACAATTAATATTAATGTAATCTTACAGAACCCTAAGTTTAGATGTACTACAATTAATGACTATTGAGAGAGAGAATTAGTCTTCCCAAGAAATGAACCTCCTTAAATCATATGCATACAAACAGTACTAAAGACACTCAATATGTTTGTTTTTGTTGCTGCTGAGTGTTTCTGTATGTGTTTAACAATAATAAGTAAAAAGAAGATCATGACTCTGAGGTAGATGAAATGAGATGAAGGAAGGGGAAGTGATACTACTATATTTTAATTAAAGAAATATTGGCCATACATGCTTATGAAATTTGAAACAATGCTTATCTTCAATGATCATCTTAGTAATGTTCATGAATAAATACTCCTTGTAGATCAGGTCCATCATATCCACCTAAATACCATGCAGATCCATTCATCAACCTCATTTTTTTGTGAATTTTTACACAGTTTGAAAATGCAAAGGTGAGTGAATTAGAATCCATTCAACAATTTCTTTCTTTGGAACCTCTGTGCATGCAGCATTAAATGTAGATGTGCTTTGTTGTGCTTTCACTGTGGGAAGCTGCAGTATGTTTACCTTTACCTCTGTGGATTAATAGCTTTATCCATTTGGTAAGTTATCAGCAACATCATGTCTTTCCACTACTTTTCATTTTCCTGTAGGGTCTCAATTATATGTTCAATTATATGTATTCTGAAAGAATTTGCTAGTTTGGGTGTTTATATTTAAAGCTTGAATTAATTTTTGTCTGTTTTTTGCATATAAAAGGGATGATCCAAATTCATTCTCCAGTTTTCGATATACATGAATGAACTCAGCAACTTCCTGAGGACATATGCTTCATAGATTTTAGGAGGTGTGCTAGACAATCTTCTATTCGTCTGCATGCCCAGTTTATATCCAGTGGCTTTGATAATGTTTTGTAGTGAAGTTGAAATCAGTGCCTGGGATTCTGGAAATTTAAAATGAAGAGCAATTTCACCTATAATACCATCAATAATTAGAGGATACCTTATCAAAAAGAAAAAAAAACAATAAAATGAAAGCTGCCAAACATTACTGGAAGAACTTAAAGAGGATGTAAATAAATTCTCTTTTCATATTAATTGTGTGGTTGTGGTCATTTTAGATTCCATGTAAATTCAAGGACACTTTTTCTTTTTTGTTATTTTTCAGTGGAGAGGAAAACAGCCAGGCTTTGCTCTAGGACTTGCTAAATCCAGCCTGAGATTTTTCTCTATTTCTTCTAAAAGAAAAAAAAAGCATATAATAAAATTTCATTGAATTAAATAAGTATTGTTAATATACTGATCCTGAAATAGGAAGTAATAAGAGTCAACTACTAAAAAATGCTGTCATATTTCTTTACATTTTCATTAACTTGTTTTGATGGCGTTGAATAGCTGCATTTTATGTTTCCTTTATTTTTTATGATACTCTCTAAGTACTTTATTTTCATTTATGATATTATAGTGGAATCATTTTTAAGTAACCTTTCCAGATTGTCTTAATCCCTATTATAGTGGAGTATCAATCCTTTACTATTGAGGATGATGTTTTATTATAATTTTAACATTTATCAGTTTATTGGTTATAATGGTCCTTTTTCTCACTACTCTTTTGGGTGCATTTATCATAGCTAGATGTTAAATCTGAACAAATATATTTTTATGTTTCAATTGAGTTAATATATGTGCTCTGTGGGTGTTTATGTATATATGTGTGCATTTCGAGAGCATGTGGTGTGTGTGTGTATGTGTATGTGTGTGTGTGTTTGGGTCTAGGTTTATGTAAGTAATGTTCCCAGGCCCTGGGGTGGAGCAACCTGCCTGTGTTCAGCAAGTGCTCTATAACCACTGCTTCCTGCATTGTTGTGCCTGTATACATGGCCAATACTCATTTCCAAATAAGATTTCTCAGAATATTTTCCAGACTTAAATAATCCAATTATGAAACTTTATAGTGCACTATTAAGGACAAAAAGCTCTACATAAAATATTAGTCCATTTCTATAATTGTTTCTAAAAAGAAAATAATTCAAGGTATAGTTTTACTAATGTTCAATGAGATTTCTGGTATGTGATGTTTAGCAGTCATATCTGTCTGCATTTCTAACTTGTAATCATTGTGGGGAAAGAAACTGTAAGTTTGGGAGTGTGTAGCAGATACCATAGTGTGTGAGGTGAGGCTAGTGGGTTCAGGCTAACGTTATAACAATATAGTAAGAACAGAGTTTCTTTGTAAACCTTCTCAAAACTTCCTCAAAATATATTCATTTTTAAAATTTTCTTTCAGTTTTACATTTTAAGTCACAAATACTAGGAAATCAATGTGTACTGTTAGAGGAGATTTTGATAATTTTTATAACTTTGTGCCTGAAGGTATCTTATTGAATATTTCATGTTTATTGGATAATTAAAGGGAGTTTAAAAAGTAAAAAAAAAGCACATATAAAGTGCATAAATTATACTACAAATAATCTATAGTTTAATATAAATGTATACCATATAAACCTGGTATTGAAATTTCTCCATAAATCTGTTGGGGAATTATGGATTTAATTAGAGTGTATACTGTTCCATATGTTTGTCATCTTTGATCATCTAATATCCTTTGCTTTTTCAAGGGTGTTTCCATGTATTACTTGAGAGGAGATGTCTGAGGATTTTATATTTTTACAATATAATTCATTAAATTTTTTAAAGTAAAAATTACTCTGTTTTAGATGCTGACTGAAAATAATATATTATACTATATCCCCTTGTTGTCTTGAATATTAAAGTAAATTGGGTGTTCTATGATTTCATAGTATAATGAAAACCTACCTTCCTCAGATTCATTACTTATAAATAAAAAATTACTAATAATTTTTCAAAATCTTTATATTTAAAAATATGAATGACTTCCAATCAAATGTTTTATGTGTATTAATTTTAGAATTCTGAGGTACTTTTATAGTATAGCATAACCCACTCTAAGACATATTTTTGAGACAGGTTCTAACTTGGCTTGGCTACTCTGGAACTCATTGTGCAAAATAGGCTAACCTTTACCTCACAGAGATCAGTCTGCCTCTGCCTCATGAATGCTGGAATTAAAGGTGTACACCACCACACTTGGATCATATAAAATAACTTTTATAATTAGATCATCAGAGATATTCAGGGAAAGTTATCATTTTAATTCTCATTGATTTGTTGATTAATTTATCATTGCAGATCAAAAAAATCAACAGAAATTTCCCTGTAAACCAGCAGGTAAGATCAAGTAATACTTGAAACATTGAATCATACTTCTTTTTCAATGTGTTTTTTATAGAAGATAATCTTGGTGCCATCTAATTCTTATATAAAAATAATTAGTACTATAAGCCATCTTCAGGAAAAATTAATTCATGACATTAATTTAATATATCTGCTTCACTGAATAGATTCAAAGTAGGTTTTAAAGGTATGTAATATAGGACAAAAACCGCTTTTGCAAAATACTTATATTATTTGTGTACAATTCTGAAGAACTAGATCTAGTAGTTCTATAATATAGCTTTAGTATATCTTAAGTCAAAAATTATTTCATGCATTTTGCCTGTATATGTTCCAGTGCATGGAGTACATTCAGAGACAAGAAGTGGGTGTCAAGGCCCTAGAACAGGATTTTAAGATCTGTATTAGTGCCATATGGGTGCTGGGAACTGAATCCTGCTTCTTTGGAAGAGCAATAGCTCTAACTTCTCTCCTGTGTCTAGTATATCTTAATTTTTAAAGACGTCCTTTAAATTGATCTCAATACCTAATACGTTGACAGACTTCCAGACAAGTTAAATTAATGAATAGAATGAAAATAATATCAGATTAATCCAAAAGGATAATAAACTCATTGTTCTTAATATCAACTTCGATTTATAGCCATCCTTCACATTCTAAGCATGCATCACTCTTTATAGGCTAAATGGTTTTAACTATATTTTACTTGCAAAACTTGCAGAGAGTCAGTTTTCTGATATGCAACATTTTTATAAAAAGATAATTAGTTTTTAAGTTTATTTTGAACATTAAGTATTAAATCTATATCTTTAATAAATACCCTTATTATCATGAGAATTGCTAAGTTCTTTTATTCTTTAAGAATTTTAATTTTTTTTACATACCAACCACAGATCACACTCTTATCCTTCCTCCCCCTCCTCCCTAGCCTTCCCCACAACCTACACCCCATCCCCTCCAAAAGGGTAAAGCCTCCCATGGGCAAATCCTGCTACATTCAGTTAAGCAGGACCAAGCCCCTCCCCCATACCCCCACATCAAGAGTCCCACCCCATAGGTAATGGTCTCCAAAAAGCCAGCTCATTCACCAGGGATAGATCCTGATCCCACTTCCAGGGGCCTCTCAGACAGACCAAGCTACTCAACTGTCTTCCACTTGCAGAGGGCCTAGTCCAGTGCCATTCAGTCTCCACAGCTATATGTCTAAAGTTCGTGAGTTCCCATGAGCTTGGTTAAGTTGTCTCTGTAGATTTCCCCATCATGATCTTGACCACCCTTGTTCATAAAATCCCTCCTCCCTCTCTTAAATTGGATTCCCAGAACTTGGCCTAGTATTTAGCTGTGGATCTCTGCATCTGATTCTATCAGTTTGTATGAAGGCTCTAGGATGAGAATTAGGGTATTCTGTAATCTGATTACCTGGGTAGGCCAGGTCAGGCACCCTCTCCACTATTGCTAGTAGTCTAAGCTGGGGTCATCCTTGTGGATTACTGGGAATTTTCCTAGCACCAGATTTCTCCCTAATCCCATAATGTCTCTCTCTGTCAAGATATCTCTTTCACTGCTCTCCCACTTCATCTCTCCCCCAGTTCGAGTATTCTGTTCCCTCATGTTCTCATCCCCCATCTTCTCCCCTCTGTTGCCCCTCCTCATCCTTCGTTTACTCCAGAGATCTCATCTATTTCCCATTCCCAGCATGATCCATGTGTCCCTCTTAAGGTCCCCCTTGTTAGCTAGTTTGTCTAGAGCTGTAGGTTATAGTCTTGTTATCTTTTGCTTTACATCTAGTATCCACTTATGAGTGAGTATATAATTATATTTGTCTTTCCAAATCTGGGTTACCTCACTCAGGATGATATTTTCTAGTTCCATTCTTTTTCCTGCAAATTTCATGATGTCATTGTACATCTAACTAATACTCCATTGTACATATGTGCCACATTTTCTTTATCCATTCTTTGGTTGAAGGACATCTAGGTTATTTCCAGGTTCTGTCTATTATGAATGATGCTGCTATGAACATTGTTGAGCAAGTGTCCTTGTGGTATTATTAAGCATCCCTTGCGTGTATGCCCAAGAGTGGTATCATTGGGTCTTGAGGTAGATTGATTCCCAATTTTCTGAGAAGTCGCCATAGTAATTTACAAAGTGGCTGTACAAGTTTGCACTCTCACCAACAGTGGAGGAGTGTTGTCCTTTCTCCACATCCTCTCTAACATCAGTTGTCATTAGTATGTTTTTGATCTTAGCCATTCTGACAGGTATAAGATGGTATCTCAGAGTTTTTTTGATTTGCATTTTCCTGATGATGAAGGATGTTGTGCAATAGAATTGCTAAATTCTTAAACATAATTTGTTCTATGAACAACACAATTTTTTTTTAGTATAGACTATGCTATTAGTGATGGTTCTGGCTAAGACAATCTCATTATCTGTTTGTAAAGACAATAGTATGAAATAGCTCATGTTTTGGAACATTCTGTGTGTCCACAAAGATCTGACACACATCATACACTCTTGCTAACACCAAAAGGACAAAGAACTAAGGGCAACTGGGGAATCCTAAGAAAGGGAGAATTGTTCTTTCCCAGAAAGAGCCCCCTCAAGTGCTTATCCAATACAAAGTGATCAGTCCTGAGATCATATGCATAATACATACAGGTAACATTATATCAACTGAGAAGACTATAGGTGTGCATTTAGAAAGATATACATATGCATGTATGTGTGTATATATGTACATGTATAGATAATAATAAAAAGGATATGAATTTGAGAAAGTTCAAGTGCATACATGGGAAGAGTTGGAGAGAGAAAAAAGAAAGAGGAAGCATAATTACATTATAATTTCAAAATTAAAAAAAATATATAAAATAAACAAAGTACCTGAGAATCATGGCACAGGCTTTTAATCCCAACATTGGGGAAATGAATATTGGTAGTTCTCTGGGACTCATTGTCCTGTAAGCTTGTTTTATGATATGAGCCTCAAACCAATGGATACCTTGCTTCAAAATCTAGACAAGTGGCTTTACTGGAAGAACACCTAAGGTTGAATGGTGTCATTTACATGCAGGTGCACACATGCTCATATATAAAAGCACTTATAGGATAAGCAACAAAACTGTTTGATGCTATATACGTACTATTCTAATATGCATTCGTCAACAGTAGCCATATATGTGAATTAGTTTGTGTACTGATTCATTTTCCTGTAGAAAATCATGTGTCTGGATAGGGTATAGAAAGAGATTTACTTAGCTCATAGTTTTAAGACAAGGCATCCCATTGACTCAGCCTCTGTTGAGGGTATCCTTCTTTACATGATATGGTGATAGATGATGTCACTTCAGGAACAGGATTATGAGTGAGAAATAGATCAGCCTTGCTTTTCTGTAATAGCTCTGTCAGAAGAACTAATTAGTACCCAAGGAGAACTACATCGATTGCCTTTGAAGAAGTGGTCTCCAATGACTTAATTACTTTCCATAGGTTCCAAATCTCAAAGAATTATCTGACCTCTCAATAAGCTCTTTTGCATAAAGACTGGGGGACATAAGTGTACCAATTTAGTTCAAGGTAGAATTCACATGATTTTTCTAGTATTTGATATTACTGATAATAATACTGATATTTTATTTCAAACCTCAGCATCTCAAAAATTTATTCTCAAAAAAGATATTCTAATGTATTTTCCAAGATTGTGAAAAAAACAAAATGAGAGCTAACATATTTTCTCCTTATTACACTTCATTATATGAAGGAATGATTTCAGGAAAAAAAAAACAACCAACTGGTTTGTTCTCCCACCTTTATCATTATGTAGATAGGAATACTACCTGTAAATTGTGACAATGGGGAAGTAAAACTTGGTACTCACTCCAAAGGAAATATGGGTTCATTCTCAGGCAAATGTGAGTAGCTATGACAAGAACATGTATTGAGAGTCCCTGAATGCTTTGTAATGTCATAAATCAATTCACTTGCCAAATACATTACTGAACATTTGGAATGCAGGCTACAGGAAAGCCAGGAAGTCTCTGGTACAAATCTCAGATAATGTTGATGACTTTCTTAGCTTCTGACTTGATGGAAACTCCTGGTTTGATAAATTAATTAATTTCACAGGTTTAACCTGATAGTCTTAAGCTATATTAGATACAGATCTGAGTAACAAATGTCTAGGAAGAAAATTAAAGATAGTTGGAGATAATTTGACTGTGAATGAACAATATTCCAACTCTTTACAGTCAGGACAGTCTTATCTGTCACCCTTCAGAATCTGTAGCACAGACTTGGAGTTTTCAGTAAATTGCAGATCCCAAAAACAAAGCCTAAAGAAAGAGAGGGAATTGCTGTGTAATAAAATGGGAGCAATTTGAGGAACTGAAATAAATGCATGTCATCCCACAGCTTTAGTTTTCACACAGAATTTCTGTCTTAGCCTTGAACATGGTGAATTGTTTTCATCTCAATGTTTTCATAACTTGATATTCCAGGGGAATTTTCAAGCTTAGATTCAATGTAAGTCTTTGTTGCATGTGTGTGTGTGTGTGTGTGTGTGTGTGTGTGTGTGTGTGTGTGTGTGTGTGCTGATAAAATGTCTTTTGGGGAGAAATGTGATTAAAATGCTGCCTCCTATTCCTGAGTTCCCACCTACTAGTAAATAAAATGAGAAAAAGTAACTAACTCAAGAGAGTTCACAATTGGAAAGTCTCTGCTTCCTGTCAAATTTGCTTGTAAATTCATTCTACCCAATTTCTTTCTACACATCAGAGGAGCTCAAAAAAAAAAAGAAGAAAAAAAAATAAAATAAGTCAGAGCCCTTAGAGAGAAAGTAGCTGTTTCTCAGCAGATACCGCTGAAGGGCTCTCCCATTACCAAAGGGTTTTCAGGATCCCTCTGTAACCCAGAGCTTTGAAGCAAAATTTATAAGCCACATAGGAAATAAACCATGCCATCTAGAGTAAAAGATAAATCCATAAGCTAAATTA